TTTAACCATTGTTTCAGTATATTGAAAAATCGTAAAAATAAAAAAAATTGGACAATCGAAAATTTAAAAATTCCGAAAATTGAAAAATTGAAATATGGAAGAACTGAAAACTCAAAAAATCGAAAAAAAATAATAATTTAAAAAAAGTTAAAATTGAGAAATCGAAAAACTGAAAAATCACAAAATTGAACGAAATATCCAAAAATTAGGAAATTAAAAAATCGAAAAATTGAAAAATCAAAAACTTGAAAAAACGAAAAATTGAAGAACTGAAGAACTGAAAAATCGAAACTTCAGGAAGTGGAGAAATGGGAACATAAAAAATAGATTAATTGAGAAATCCCGAAATTAAAAATTCAGAAACGTCAAAATATGAAAAATAAAAAAATATTGAAGAACTGAAAAATCGAAAAATCTAAAATTTAAAACATTGAAAAGTTAAAATATCCTAAAACTGAAAATGGAGAAATTCAAATATCAAAAAATCAAAAAAATAAAAATTCGAAAATCTAAAATTTAAAATTCGAAAAACTGAAAAATCAACGAATCGAGAAGTCGAAAATTTAAAAAATTGAGATATCGAGAAATCGAAAAATCAAAAAATTGAGAAACCGAAATAAGCCAAAATCGAAAAATCTAAAACTTAAATATGGGAAAATTGATAGAGAGATTAAATAATCAAAACATCGAAACATCCGAATCTCAATAAATGGAGATCTCAAAAAATTTAAAAATTCGGAAATTTGAAGAATTAAAATATAGAACTGGAAGCTCGAGAAACCGAAAAATCTAGAAAAATAAAAATTAAACTATGGAAATTCAAATATAAAACAGTACAGTCGAAAAATTGAAAAATCTAGAAGTCGAAAAATCAAAGAATCGAAGTATTGAAAAATATCAAAACTGAAAGAAATATCCAAAAATTGAGAAATCGTAAAACTAATAAAGCGAAGTCGAAAAATCGAAGATTTGAAGAACTGAAAAATCGAAACTTTCAGAAGTGGGAAAATCAAAAATAGATTAATTGAGAAATCAGAAAACTGAAAATTTGACGCAAAAATTCGAAAAATTGAAAAATTTAAATACTGAAGACCTGAAAATTCAAAAAATCGAGAAATCGAAAAATTTAAAATTCAAAACACTGATTAATTAAAATATCGCAAAATTGAAGAATCGAAAAATCCAATTCAATTTGAAAAATTGAAAAATTGAAAAATCTTGACATTGAAAAATTGGAAAATCCAGAAATTGAAAAGCTCAAAAGAAAAAAATCGAAAAACCGAGAAATCCAAAAATCGAAACTTAGAAAAATTCAAAAACTGAGACTTCGAGAAATCGAAAAATCGGAGGATCGAGAAATTGAGGAGTCGGAAGCCGAAAAGAAAAGTGAAAAATTGAAAAATTGAGAAATTGAACAATCAAAACAACGAAACATCTGAATTCGATAAATTGAGAAATTAAAATTCAAAAAATCGAAAAATCGAAAAATTGAAATATAGAAGAATTGAAATCTCGAGATATCAAAAAGCCTAGAATTTTAAAAAATGAAATGCTAAAACATCGAAAAGTTGAAAAATTGAGAAATCGAAGCATTAAACAGTCGCGAAACTGAAAAATCTAAAGTTAACAATAAATTGAAAATCCAGAAAGTAAAAAATCGAGAAATCAAAAAAAATCCATCAATTCAAAAATCGAAAAGTCGAAAAATCTAAAATTTAAAACATTGAGAAGTTAAAATATCCTAAAACTAAAGATGGAGAAATCCAAACATCAAAAAATCAAAAAAATAAAAATTCGAAAATCTAAAATTTAAAAATCGAAAAACTGAAAAATCAACGAATCGGGAAGTCGAAAATTTAAAAAATCGGATAAATCAAAAATCGAAAAATCGAGAAACTGAAAAGCAAAAAATCGAAAAACCAAAAAATCGAAAAATCGAAACATTGTAAAATTCAAAAATTGAGACTTCGAGAAATCGAAAAATCAAAAGACAAAATCGAGGAGTCGAAAAATCGAGAAGTCGAAAAATAAAAAAATTGAGAAACCGAAATAGGCCAAAATCGAAAAATCTAAAACTTAATTATGGAAAAATTCATAAAGCGAGAGACTGAATAATCTAAACATCGAAACATCCGTATCTCAATAAACTGAGATGTCAAAAAATGTAAAAATTCGGAAATGTGAAGAATTAAAATATAGAACTGGAAACTCGAGAAACCGAAAAATCTAGAAATTTAAAAATTAAAATATGGAAAAGTTGAAAACTTGAGAAATTGAAATATAAAACAATCGAAAAATTGAAAAATCTAAAGTATAAAAAACAAAAAACTGAAAATCCAAAAATAAAAAATAGAAAAATCTAGAAGTCGAAAAACCAAAGAATCGAAGTATTGAAAAATATCAAATCTGAAAGAAATATCCAAAAATTGAGAAATCGAAAAACCAACAAAGCGAAGTCGAAAAATCGAAGAATTGAAGAACTGAAAAATCGAAACTTTGAGAAGTGGGAAAATCCAGAAATTGAAAAGCTCAAAAGAAAAAAATCGAAAAACCGAGAAATCCAAAAATCGAAACATCGAAAAATTCAAAAACTGAGACTTCGAGAAATCGAAAAATCTTAGGATTGAAAAATTGAGAAACTGAACAATCAAAACAACGAAACATCAGTATTCGATAAATTGAGAAATTAAAAAATTGAATAATCGAAAAATTTTTAAAAAGAAAAAATGGAAAATAGAAAATTAAAATTCAAAATATCGAAAAATTGAAAAATTGAAATATAGAAGAATTGAAAACTCGAGATATCGAAAAGCCTAGAATTTTAAAAAATGAAATGTTAAAACATCGAAAAGTTAAAAAATTGAGAAATGGAAGGCATTAAACTGTCGTAGAATTGAAAAATCTAAAGTTTGAAAATCCAAAAAGTAAAAAATCGAGAAATCACAAAAAAACATCAATTCAAAAATCGAAAAGTCGAAAAATCTAATATTTAAAACATTGAAAAGTTAAAATACCCTAAAACTAAAAATGGAGAAATCCAAACATCAAAAAATCAAAAAAATAAAAATTCGAAATTCTAAAATTTAAAAATCGAAAAACAAAAATCAACGAATCGAGAAGTAGAAAATTTAAAAAATCGGATAAGTAAATCAAAAATCGAAACATCGAAACATCTAGAAACCGAAAAGCAAAAAATCGAAAAACGGACAAATCAAAAAATCGAAACATTGTAAAATTAAAAAATTGAGATATCGAGAGATAGAAAAATCAAAAGACAAAAAAATTAAGGAGTCGAAAAATCGAGAAGTCGAAAAATCAAAAAATTGAGAAACCGAAATAGGCCAAAATCGAAAAATCGAAAACTTAAATATGGAAAAATTGATAAAGCGAGAGATTGAACAATCAAAACATCGAAACATCCGAATCTCAATAAATTAAGATCTCAAAAAATTTAAAAATTCGGAAAATTTGACGCAAAAATTTGAAAAATTGAAAAATTTAAATAATGAAAAACTGAAAATTCAAAAAATCGAGAAATCGAAAAATCTAAAATTCAAAACATTGATTAATTAAAATATCGCAAAATTGAAAAATCGGGACATTGAAAAATTGGAAAATCCAGAAATTGAAAAGCTCAAAAGAAAAAAATCGAAAAACCGAGAAACCCAAAAACTGAGACTTGAAAAATTGAAAACTCGTGATATCGAAAAGCCTAGAAATAAATAAATTGAAAATCCAAAAAGTAAAAAATCGATTAATCAAAAAAAATCCATCAATTCAAAAATCGAGAAGTCGAAAAATTGAAATATCGAAAAATCTCATAACTTAAAGAAATATTAAAAAAATTGAGAAAAGAAAAAATTGGAAAATTGAGAAATCGAAAATCTAAAAAAGCAAAATCGAAAAATCGTAATCTTAAAAAATCGAAAAACTGAGGAATTGAAGCTGTGAAAAATCGAAACTTTAGGAAGTCCAGACATGGACAAATAAAAAAATACTTTAGAAATCGCCAAACTGAAAATTTAGAAACATGAAAATTTGAAAAATTGAAAAATCGAAATATTTAAAAACCGTAAAATTGAAGAGGACAAAAATTGAGAAATCGTATCATTGAAACATCGAAAGATTGAGAAATCGAAAAATAAAAAAATCGAGAAATAGAAAATTTGAAGAATGGAAGAATCGGAAAAGCCCAAAATTGAAATATTGAAAAATTGAAACATTTAAAGTTGAAAAATTAAAATTTGTATTAGGTTGTCCAACTATAATATACTTAGACAATGCTTTAACATACTTACTATCTCCTCTCAGCAACACTGCCAAATTCTGAGGTCATAAGCGTAACTGATAAAAAAGTTCATCGTAAAAAAAAATAAGGATCAAGAAGTATAGCTAAAAATACTACTTATAAAGTTAAAACAAAAAGCAAAAGAAAAACAACACAACCACGGTCTAACTCAGGCACTAAATTTGTATTATCAAAACAAAAAGCAAAAAAATATACTCGTACAAATTTTAAAAATAAAATAATTAAAGTTCGCATGCACTAAAGAACTAAAATTATCTGGTCAAGGTCTTGAAAGTGTTGACATTGGCAATAATGTGATAACTATAGTACTGTAGAGGAGAAGAGACAAAAATGGCCAATTTTTATTCACACTGTTTGAATTTTTTTTTCAATCGTTATTTAGAAGTTTTATGATGTATGATACACCATATATTTGAGTCATGTGTTTCTAAGAAAACACAAAAGTTAAGTGGGCCATATCTCTATCCGGATTTAGGTAATCACTTACGAATTTCCAATTCCACTTATATGCAATGATTGATCTTATCATGATTCATTTATTGTTTGCAGCATCTAATCTACGATCTAATCATCCACACCTGGCTGATCTTCCACAAACAAGTGATAATTAAAATTATGTAACATTAGTCAGCCTAATGTCATTTACTCTCCCATATCTGATTGCAAATTTCCATAAATCACACAAAAGCGACCGACCTATAAATTTATCGCCAGATAACACCGTCGCAAAGTTCCGCCGAAACTGATACCCACAATTTTTAAGCCAACCTCACGAAGAACACACGCTCCTCACCCGAAATGTTGGCCCTCATTCTAACGTGTTTGTTCCTCATCTTGTACTACCTCTACACCAAAAACTACAACTTCTGGAAGTCCCGGAATGTCCCTTACGAAAAACCGGTCTTCCTCTTCGGCAGCTTCTACAACATAGTCCGAAGAAAAGAGCACATCCTCGAACGCCTCTGCAACATCTACAACCAATTCCCCACACCCTACGTCGGAATGTTCATCTTCCACCAGCCAGTTCTGCTCATCAGAAGCCCCGACCTCTTGAAGAAAATCCTAGTCAAAGACTTCAACAAATTCCCCAATAGGAAAATCGCGGCGAACGAAAAAGCAGACCCTTTGGCATTCCACGCCCTCTTCATTGCACGAGATGCCATCTGGCGCAACATGCGTGCCAAAATATCGCCGGTCTTCACATCCGGGAAGATGAAGCTGATGTTTCCGCTCATGCAAGAGTGCGTAGACGACTTGTACGATTTTTGCGAGACGCACCCGAACGAAGAAGTCGACGTGAAGATGATGATGAAGAAGTACACGGTTGATATAATCTCGAGCTGCGCCTTCGGTATTAAAACAAACTGCTTCAAAGACGAAGAGTCCGAGATCTTGAAAGTTGCAACGAAAATGGTGGATTTTGGTTCAGTGGTTCGTGGATTTTCGATCTTCTGTTTCTTCTTTTTGCACAGTTTCGTCGACTTCTTTAAGCTGACGTTTGGTGATAAGTATTGTACAGATTATTTGTTTAACGTGTTCACGACGACGCTGCACGAAAGAGAGAAGAAGAAAATTGTGAGGAACGACCTCATCGACTTGCTGATTAATTTGAGAAAAATTGAGACGATTACTGATGGTTACAAGTTTGACGACGAAGTTAAGATGGCCGGTCAAGCGATTCCTTTCTTTTCAGCTGGAAACGACACGACTTCTATAACTCTAGCTTTGACGTGCTACGAGCTTGCTTTGCATACAGAAATCCAGGACCGGCTAAGGAAAGAAGTGACCGAAATCTTCCAAGAAAGTGGTACTTTCACCTATGAAAACCTCCAAGAAATGAAATACATGGACATGGTCATCAATGGTAAGTCGCAAGATTTTCGCATATCGTCATTTATTCCTATCTATGATTTTAGAAACCTTGAGGAAGTACCCTTTGGCACCATTTTTGATGCGCGAAGCCGCCGAGGACTACACTTTTGAAGAAACCGGTTTCACTCTGGAAAAAGGCGTTTCCCTTCTTGTTCCTATTTCTGGGTTACACTATGACCCTAAATATTACCCAGAACCGGAAAAGTACGACCCTGAGCGGTTCAGTGACGACAACAAGAGGAATTTGACGCCGTATACGTACCTACCGTTCGGGGAAGGACCAAGGAATTGTATTGGTAAGTCAGGTTTTTAAGTTTTCCGGTGTCACAAGTACGTTGTTTTGCAGGTCAAAGATTTGCGCTTCTAGTCAGCAAAGTGGCTTTGGCCCGTATTATCAAGGATTTTGTCTTTGAAGCCACCGAGAAGACGCCTGTGCCGCTACAGCTTGACCCTGGTTCGTTGTTTGTGCAAAACAAAGGAGGTCTTTATGTAAATGTGCGAAAAGTTTGAAATTTAGAGAAATTGAAATACAGTTTTATTTTTATGTTATGTGTTTTTATATTTTATTTACTATATCTTATCTTATCAATGGAACTAACCCATGTTGATTCAAATATATACGCCATGTTAATTTAACACCCATTCTCGTCGGTTAAAGTTGTTCCACATGGTATATAGTTTTGTATCCTGATTTTATACAATTACGTGGATCTTGGGGTAAGTTAAACTGAATAATAAATTAATAAATTAAGAAATTTAACCATTTAAATTCAACTCTTACAAATATTTTTCCTCATCCAAATTGTTATTAAGTATTATTTACTGCATTTTTATTTTTTATAACTTTAATTGTTCCACACACAATACCTATAAATTTGTAAGTACTGGATCAAGATAACAGAAATTTCTTGGTAATAAAATAATCTTTATCACATTGCTAATGATCAAACAATTGTTTGATACTTTTCCCTGATGACGTCATTAACTCTCTAGAGAGTAAATAAATATATAAACTGTTATCGTTGATTCGTAATCATTAAATCAATGTTAGTATATATTTTGCAAACATCCCAAAAAATCGTTTCATGAATCTGAAGACTAAAATTAGTAAAATTAGTTTTTATAAATTTTGTACTTTTTCACTTGTCGCTGACGTTGCTGTTCGCCGTTGACGTTGGCGTTGACGTGTGGTTTTCAACCAATCAAACTGCGATAGTGTGCAGTACTTCCAACTTGAATGGAGCTTGGGCTGGATATGGGTGGGGCTTAATTTTTAGCTTGTTTTGCAATTAAACTCATTTTTTTTTTAATGTTCAAAAGTTGTGTGCCAAATTTTAGTCGAAATTCACTGAAGAAACGTTTGATAATTTTTCTTCCAGTTGTCTACCAGTTAAAAGGGATAAACTCTTCAATTTGATAGCACTGAAGGTCATTTGTAAACGTTCTTATGAAACTGCATTATTTTAAAAAAGGACGACATAAACGCGAGCGCAGCGAGCACGTTCAGGTGTTAATAAAAATTAATCGTTACTCTCCTTGAGAAGCTAAATTACTAATAAAATTTGTATTGTTTAAAAAAGGCGAATCCTAAAAATATTTGTAGAAATTCTAAAGATTCTTGGGATTCTAAAATGCCCAAAATTTCCAAAGATTCGAAGGACTCAAAAAATTTTAAGAACATAGGCACTCTGAGGAATGTAGAAACTGTAAAGACTGTAAAGACTCTTGGAATTTTAAAAAAGCAAAAGTTCTAAAATTTCTAAAAATTCCAAAAATTTTAAATATTGCGAAATTTCTACAAATTCTTCAGGGATTCCACACACTCCAGAGACTGTAGAAATTCTAAAGATGCCTGAAAACTCTAGGTGATCCTGAAATGTCCAAAAATTCCAAAGATTCTAAACGTTCTGAAGACATTAAAGACCATGAGAACTCTAAAGGGTGTAGAGGTTCTAAAGATTCTAAAAATTCTAAACGTTTCAAAGTGTCTAGCGATTATTAAAATTGTAAAGGTGATAAAATCGCCAAAGATCAGAAAATTCTTAAAAATTCTAGAGATACTCTAGCCAACCCAATTTCTAGACCGTAGGGATACTAGAAATTTCGAGAGATTCGCCAGGTTTCAAAGCGTTCAAACATACCAAAGATTCTAAAATTTCCAGATATTCTAAAGATTTTGAAGACCCTATAATTAAAAAAAGATTCTAAACATACATACAAGAAAGATTAAGATTGTTAAAGATCCTGAAGATACTACAGATTCCAGAAATTCTAGACATCCTAAAGATCTGAAGATTCTAGAAATTTTAAAGATTCTAGAAATCCTGGTGATCTTAAAATGTCAAAAATTTTCAAAAATTCGAAAGACTAGAAAAATACTAAGAACTTTAAGCACATTTGGAACTGTAGAATCTGTAAACACTGAAAAGGGTCAAAAGATTCCAGAGACTGTAGAAATTCTAGAGATTTCTGAACTCCTGATGATTCTAAAATGTCTAAAATTTCCAAAGATTCGAAATATTCTAACAACTTTGAGGAGTCTGAGAACTCTGAGTACTATGGGGGCTGCAAAAACTGTAAAAATTCTAAAGACTCTTAAGTGTAAAAATACTAAAATTTCTAAAGTTCCGTAAAGTTTTAAAAATTCTAACGGTTTTCTAGGTACTAAAAATTCTAAAGATAATAAAGATTGGAAAATTTCGAAAGATTAAAGGGTTTCAAAACGTTAAAAAATTTCAAAGATTCTAATAACTACAGATATTCTAAAGACCTTAAAAACCCCATAAATTAAAAAATTTAGGGATATTACACTTCTAAATTCAAGAAAAATTAAAAAAATCTTAAAAATCTTAAAAATCCCGGAGGTAGAAATTGTTAACGTTTTAGAAATCCTAATGATCTAAAATTTTCAAAAAAATATAAAGACTGAAAAGACTGTAAAGATTCTAAAGACTAAGGATTCTAGGTAATTAAAAGTTCCAAGATTTCTAAAGATTCGAAAGACTCGAAAAATCCTAAAAACGTAAGCACTCTGAGGACTGTGAAAACGTAAACAGTATAAAGACTAAGGATTGCAAGTAATCAAAAATTCCAAAATTTCTAAAAATCCTAAAGATTTCAAATATGCACCCCAAAAATTCTACAAATTCTAGAGGGATTCCACTAATTCCAGAGCTTGCAGAAGATTCAAAAGATCCGAAAAATCGTAAGAACTCTGAGCACTCTGAAAACTATTGGTACTTTAAGGACTGTAAAACTGTAAATATTGTAAAGATTCTAAAGGCTGTAAAAGTTCTAAGACTCTAAAGATTCTACGTAATCAAAAGTTCCAAAATTTCAAACATTGTAAAGGTTTCTAACATTCCAGAAATTCTACAAGTTCTAGAGGGACTCCACAGATATCAGAGATTTTTAAAATTGTAAAGATGTTAAAATTCCTAAAGCTTGATTATTATTATTATTATTTCACATAGGATAGAAATTATTTTTCCGAGGTCTTTGCTAAAATGTTAAATAAATAGCGAATCTCAAGAATTTATTTTAGATTCGCTATATTTCATATTGTCATGAGTCACCCAAAGAAAAAATATTGTCCGAGGCGCAGTCGAGATCTGAAAAATATCCTAAAATTTTGTTTCTGGAACTTCAATTAAAGTTTACCAAACGTTAAATAAGTAGATGGCGTACCTCAGGGATTTATGTTAAATTTCTCATATTTTCCATTTTCATTAGTGATGTAATTTGATATTAATATTCTATATGGGATGGAAGGTTCTAGTGTATGGAAATTTTAAGATTTTTAGAATATCTAAAAGCTTAAGATTTTGTAAACTTTTGAAATTTTGAAATTTTGAGATTTAATATTTTTTATTTTCTTTTAATTTTTGGAAATCCTCGTAATTTGCAAAATTTTCAAAATTTCTAGAATGTTCAGATTTTCAAGATTAGCCCAATTTTTCAGATTTTCCAAAGTACACAAAATGGCCTGAATTTCCACATTTTTCCAAAATTTCTAAAGTTATCAGGCTCCAGTTATGTCAGAATTTTGAAATTCAACCGTTTCCAATATTTTCAAAATTTCTAGGTCCACCACATTTTTCCCGCTCTTTCTAAATTTTTTCTGATTTTCTAAAATTTATATATCTCGAGAGTTTAAATCTTTGGTATTTTTGGAATCTCTGGAAATCTCCAAGATTTATTTTGTTATTTAGGGTGTTCAAGGCCTTCAGTGCTTTCAAGATTGATAAAAATTGAACAAAAAAACATTTTTCCGATCTTAACGATTTTTAGGTCTTTAAGAGTTTTGTTTTCTTTAAAATAACAAAATACTTAAAATATCAAATGGTAAATTTGAACTTAGAATTATGTTTTAAATATCGTGTTGTTGAAAATAGGTATATATTAAAAAAAGGAAGCTAATAATTAAGCCCCACCCACCCGCCCTATCTCAATTGTGATGATTTTCTTTATTCGTCGTGAGCCAAGAGGGCGGCGTTTAACTGCAAAATCCTTATTTCTATACGGAAAATTAATAACGTGTTTTTGAGTATCGTGTTCAAAGAATACTATGTATATTAAGAAAAAATTAGAGCCAAAGATTAAGTCCCACCCATACCTGCCCTGATCTAAATATGTAATAATGAAGTTTTGATTCGTTCCCAGACCTAGGGGCGGAGTCTAATTGCAAAATCTATGTTTCCCTAAAAAATTTACCATTTTAAACGTGTTTTAAGTTTCTAATAATACAACAAATCATCACAATTGAGATGGGGTGGGTGGGGGGGGTTTATATTTTTTCTGTTTTTCTTAATATAAATAGTATTCTTTGAACAAAACGATACTCAAAAATTTGTTTTTAATTCCTTCTAACGAAATACATATTTAGCACTTAAGCTCCGCCCTCTTGGTTCACGGCGAATAAAAAAAAATAATCACAATTGCGAAAGGGCGGGTGGGCGGGGCTACATTTTGTCTTCTTTTCTTAATATGTGTAGTCATCTTTTCGCAATAAAAAACTTAAAACATGTTTAAAATGGTAAATTTGTAAAGTGAAATATCAATTTTGCAATTACGCTCCGCCCCCGATCTGACAACGAATGAAAAATTCATCACGACTGAGATCGAGACGGATAGGTGGAGCTTTTCTTTTAGTTTTCTTTTTTAATTAATACATTTAGTTTTCTTTGTATAACACGATTACCTAAGACATAATTCGCATGGTAATTTCTCGTAGAAAAATAAGGATTTACAATTAAACTCCGCCCCTCGACTTACGACGAATAAAAAGAATCATCAGAAGTGAGATAGGGTGGGGCTTATATTTCGCCTTTTTTTCTTAATACACATAGATGTCTTTTCACAACAAGAAACTTAAAACATGGTTAAAATTTTTGCAAAGAAATATGGATTTTGCAATTATGGGGCCTAGCCTAATTGCAAACTCGATAATTCTTTATACAAATTTTCCATTTTAAACATGTTAGAAGTTTCTTATGGTGAAAAGAAATCTACACATATCAAAACAAAAACACAAAAAGTTGGCCCGCCCACCCACCCTATCTCAATTGTGATGACTTTTTTAACTGCAAAATACTTATTATGTTATATCTGTAATTAGGCTCCGCCCCTACCTCTGTCAACGAATGAAAAATTCATTACTCTTTAGATCAGGGCAGGTATGGGTGGGGCTTAATCCTTGGCTTTAATTTTTTCTTAATATACATACATAGTATGCTCAGTGACATGAAAATCAGAACACCCAGTAATAATAAGCATATTTTAATAACTTTTGATATACGTGGTTATTACGGTTATCGAAGTGAAAATTCGAAGTGATTCAAAAACATAACGTGTTGATGGTCCTGAACCAAATTTTTCGAAAAATTCGATTTGAAATGAAACTTTGAAAATTGTCATTTTTCATTTTATCAGTTGCGACGAAATTTCGGAGGGGACGGACGGTGACGGTCCGGAATCTCGCCGATAACGTGTGGTGGCGGTGTACTTAGGTGCCAAGCTTCGGTCAGGAGCGCCGGGGTGCTCTAAAGCCGGAGACACGGAATTCAAGTGGTGAGCGCCCGCGAAAGCACGAGAATAAATAAAATAAAACGGCAAAGATATTTTATAACAATAAATAGGGTTTATTCCCTGCCACCAGCTACACGGTCTAAAATAATAAAACTTACGGCTAAACAACTTAAATAATTACAAAGCAAAAACAAATAAGAAAAGTAATAATACGTCCGGCACGGTCGTTCCTCCTGGGCGGCGACTTTCCTCAAGACGGGCTCCTCCTGGCTCTGGGTAGGGAAGCAGTAATTTACAAAAACCAGTTGAAATCTACAAGAAAATGTGTTTGAGTAATTTCCAATTGTGTAAAATACTCAAAAAAAATTGGGGGATATAAATCTCGACAGTTTATTTGAAAAACAAAAGTGTGAATGCCCCCGGACTAAAATTTTCGAAAAATTTGGTTTGATAATGAATTTTCGAAGAAATGGAACCGAAAATAATTTCTACAAATCTAAATTGATAAAAAATTCCTTTGGTTAATTTTCGAAGCGTTCGAAGAGCAAAAAACTGTTTTTTTAATCATTTTTCCGGTAGTTTCGGAGATTATCGTAATTATCGCTGTTAAAGGGTATGTCATTTGCCAAAATCAGTCTTATCATAACAAGTACTACTATGGATATGACAGAAAAACTAATCGTTTACTTATCTGACACTAATACACATGTATACAAAAAATTATTAAAATATTCTTATTATTACTGGGTGTTCTAATTTACATGTCACTTAGTGTATGTTTTGAATAACACGATAATCAGAAATATGTCTTATATGGTAATTTCTTGTAGCTCCTTTGGCTCAAAAAATCATCACAATTGAGATAGTGCTTGTGGGCAGGGCTTATATTTTGCCTTTTTTCTTTACATACGTAGCCGTCTTTTCAGAACAAGAACCTTAAAACATGTTTACAATGGTAAATTCTTGTAGACAAATATGGATCTTGCAATTAAGCCCCGCCCCTCGATCTGACAACGAATAAAAAATTCAACACAATTGAGAATTGAGACCGGGGTGGATATGGACGGGGCCTAATTTTTGGCTTTAGATTTTTATTAATATATATATAGTATTCTTTGAACAACACGATACTCAGAAACATGTTTTTAGTTTCTCGCAGAGAAATAAGGATTTTGCGGTTAAGCTCCGCCCCCTTGGCTCGCGACCAATAAAAAAATCGTCACAATTGGGGCTTATATTTTGCCTTTTTTTTCTTAAAATACATAATCATCATTTCACAACAAGAAACTTAAAACATTGTTAAAATGGTACATTTTTGCAAGAAAATATGGATTTTGCAATTATGGGGCGGAGCCTTATTCCAAATCGATAATTCTTTATACTAATTTTCCATTTTAAAGATGTTATAAGTTTCATATTGTGAAAAGAAGTCTACACACATTAAAACAAAAAGACAAAATGTAGGCCCGCCCACCCACCCGATCTCAATTGTGATGATTTTTTTTTCGCTGCGAACCAAGGCGGCGAAGTTTAATTGCAAAATACTTATTTCTTTACAAGAATTAATAACATGTTTTTGAGTATCGTGTTGTTCAAAGAATACTATGTATATTAAGAAAACAAGGCAAAATAATATCTCCGCCCACCCACCCTCTCTCAATTGTGATGATTGTTTTATTCTTAGAAACTTAACGCGTTTAAAATGGTAAATTTTTGTAAGGAAATATGGATTTGGCATTTAGGCTCCGCCCCTAGATCGGCCAACGAATGAAAACTTCATTACTATTTAGATTAGGGCAGGTGTGGGTGGGGCTTAATTTTTGGCTTTAATTTTTTCTTAATATATATAGTATTCTTTGATAACACGATAAAAACATGTCTTACATGGTAATTTCTTGTACAGAAATAATAAGGATTTTGCAATTAAATTCCGCTGTTTTGCTAATCGACGATTAGAAAAAAACATCACAATTGAAATAAGGCGGGTGGGCGGGGCTTATATTTTGCCTTTTTTCTTTATGTACGTAGTCGTCTTTTCAGAACAAGAATCTTAAAACATGTTTAGAAAGTTAAATTCTTGTAGACACATATGGATCTTGCAATTAAGCCCCGCCCCTCGATCTGGCAACGAATGAAAAATTCATGACAATCGAGAGCTGAGATCGGGGCGCGTATGGATGAAGTCTAATCTTTGGCTTTATTTTTTACTTAATATACGTAGTATTCTTTGAACGACACGATACTCAAACCATGTTTTTAATTTCTCGTAGAGTACATAATAAGGATTTTGCAGTTAAGTTCCGCCCCTTTGGCTCACGACGAATAAAAAAAAATCATGGCAATTGAGATAGGGCCCTTTAAATACCGCAAATTTGAACGGCAACTTGGCAACGGAGTTAATAAATGATAATTTTTGGCTCTAACAGCTCTCTGCTATACAGAGTGTTCTGTTTCTGACACACAGCAGTCAACTTATTTTTTTACTTCCCGAGCGTAAACGACTAAACCCTAACCGAAATTTAACAAAACTGATGTAAAATCTGTAAAATAACATACAGTTGTGGGTTATGAATCCGCATTGATTTTTAATGGTAAGTATCCCAGTTTTCGCAAAAAAAAAATCTAGAATGGCTCATGAATGGGCGTCTCCGTCTGGTAACCCGTAGACCGGGTGTTCGAAATTAAATATTATAATTTTAAAGAAGCGGAATTTGTCGTACTGTACTTCAGAGGCGAGGGAAGTACAGTCTAAATATTACGAACGAGTCACCCCATTTCCTATAAAATGTGACAATGTAGTTGTTGCGCCCGTCTATATTTAATATTAATAAAATAAAAATAATATTAATAATAATAATAATAATATTCAGAACATTTTGCTCCACTGTAGCTTAATAATTAGGGTACAATCGATTATGTTACAGCTTCAAGCGTGCATGACCATGGACACAGACTCAGACAATGAAAATGAAGAACATGTGCAACAGAATGGACAAGTGAAAAGAAAGTTAGAACAAAAAGGACTAGGGAAAAAAATAAAAACCGATTTAGAAGCGACTGCAAGATTTAACAACAACCTTCCTTTATTAAATCAAGTAAGAAAATTTTTATATTTTTCTTAATTGTGTAGTTGTTTTTGAAATCGCTCAATCGCTCATATTTTGGAAATTACAGATTCCAGGCAGTACAGACTCAGAAAGTCAACAAATGGCAAACATTGCAAACCAGTTGCCGTCGCCAACAACATCTTCAGACAATGTTAAAGAAAAAAAAGTACGTATTTCAACTGCAATTTTTAATGTCAATATTAGTAACTAAAATTTAAAATCTAGAATAAAACTAGCAGAACGCCAAACGAAATACCTATATATTATATAGTATGTTGTGATTTCAGCATGAAACACCTCGGTTTGCAACATATGAAAAACTTGGTGGAACAACAGATCAAGGAAAGGAATATGAAAAAATGATGTCTGCACACCTCGCTTTAAAACTGATAAAAAACAACGAAATTGTCGACTTCGGAATGACTACAAATGACAAAGCAAACGGCCTGTTCGACGACATCGGTCTCAAAGTTAAATTTAAAAATAAAAAAACAGTGAATTTTCTTTTTCAACTGAAACACAAAGAGAAACCGAAACATATTACACAAAGGGAGCTTTTCGGAGTAGACAAGAATTTCTCCGTTGAAAAATATTTCAAATCTATTATGGCGTCAGACAAGTTTTCACACGACGACGTGTGTATTCTTTATACGAACTGTCCCGTAATTATTGAAAATTCTACACACTCGGCTAAAAACTTTAAGATTGAAAAGTGTAAGCATCTAGAACACGAAGAATTGTTTCTGAACACCGAAAGCGCGCAAGAGTGTAGTATTTTTCGAATCATGAGAAAAGACAAGAATCATACATTTTACTTACTCGGAGGCCAAAGTAACCTTGCGAGTACTAAAAAGAAAACTAAACAAATGCTACAAGATTTGGTAGACCATGATGTCGATATTTATGATCGCTTCGTCCACTTTATGGGTGAATGGTGGTCACAAAATTTTGTTTTATACAAAAATGACGTTATTGCAAAATTAACGGAACTGGCTTTAACACCACACATGAAATCTTTGAGTGCTAGTAAACAAAATAGCAAAACTGTGTATATGGAGGAAGCTATAATGGAATTTCGGGTGACAATAGTCGACGACGATATGGTCAGCAATATTTGGCAAATTGATACACACGAACGATCTGGTGAAGTTAGAAAAAAGTTTGCGTTAAACTCAATTGCTGAAGACAAAGTTTTATGGTATCTTGGTAAAGTTCCTCTCGTCGTAAAAGTAGATGATATTAACCAAGCGAAGATTAAGCGCGTTCTGGAACTTATGAACAAATCTTCTGAAATGAAGCAAATAGTTTTAGTGGGGGATGTTACAAGTGACTTTTTTGAAGAATTGGACAGTTTTCAAAATTTGGCAGACCTCATAGAAAAATCTAACGACGAAACACATTTTCGTAAGATTTTGGAAACTTTTCAAGTTTCTTTGCAAGGAAGAAAACCCATGAGCTTGGAAAAGCTTATTAAGATTAATCCAGACATAGCGACGCATATTGGAGTTGGTGAACTGTTGAAGATGTCACAAGAAACATATCTGATCGGAAATCATCAAGAGAAGTTGCCCGATTTTCACATCCCACGAAGCGTTTCTTCAGTTTTTGTTAAAACCGAAACGATTTTGAGTGTTTTTGAAAAACAACGAAACCAAATCGTCGTGATTATCAATAGTGACTTAACTACCAGAAACTGGGTTTCAACAACTAGAAACTTTGACACCGTTGAATTGTCCGAGTATCTAAATAACAACTACAACAGAAGTGAAAACGTTCTTCTGTTGTCGACGGAAAAACAATGCAGTCTTGACGAATTTAATCAAGTTTGTACAAAAAATTATGGATGTCGCGTGTATCTCTTTCAAGTTTTTGATGAAGAAGTTTGCATCTTACTTTTACAGAACAACAAACAATCCCTAGATTGGTCTGCAACTGAACCTAAGACCTTAATGGAACAAGATATTTTACTCAAATTTGTCAATTCACCGAACGTAATTTTTGCTCCACCGGGAATGGGTAAATCAACCCTAATACAAGTTTTGTACAACAATTGTCCTGAAGACCATTGGGGGATTCGTGTTGATTTGATAAATTACAATTCGTTTTTAGCACAGAAACCAAGCGTCGAAGAAATGGAGGAGCGCTTTTTGGGAATAGACGATGCAATACAGAAATTTAGTACCAAACAAATTAAGCGGTGTTTACACACAAGCAAAAAAGTCTATTTCTTTCTTGATGGATTAGACGAAGTTGATCGTCAGTACGTGAAATACATTCTTGGTTTTGTACTTGAAAAATCAAAAGATAGCAAAATATGGCTCTCATGTAGGGAAAATTTACGAGATGAGGTGACAAAGATTCTACACACAGTACCAGTGGAGATAAACGAACTGAACAAAAACGAACAAAAAGATTACATACGAAAAAAACTAAAAAGAAAGTACAAAGGCAAAGAAATAGAAATAATCTTGAGTGCAGTTTCCACCAACACAGACTTGAGCAACAGTCAGGAATTATTAGGAATTCCTCTCCAATTGTACATACTAACAGAAATCTTCCTCAACAATGACGATGTTTACAAAAACCTGGAAGAAAAGAACATATTTGTGTTGACACACATGTACAAGATTTTTTTTGAGGGAAAATTAAACTCTGCAATTTGTAAAATTGTTGATAAGAGCCAAAGACACCAGCTCGGATATCTTAAACCCCTTTTGTACCCTTACGAAATTCCTGCTTTAAAGCAGTGTTTAGGCAGAAAAGATTTCGAGAAATTGAACGTGGAATTAGAAGAAACGCAAGAATTTGTCGACGAAATAAAAAATAAAGGCGACAAATTTGGAATAATCAAGAAAATCAACGAAAGCGGTAAGGCTATATTTGCCCATCAGACATATGCAGAATATTTTGCCTGTGTTTGGTTAAAAAAGAATAAATCGAAAACGACATTATTGGGAACAGTAATATTTTCTAAAAAATATGAAATGTTGCGACTGATGTTCAATGTTATGTTGGCTGAAAACAACCCGTTACACTTGTCTGTTATTTATAAAAACATGGATATGTTTGAAAAACATATAAACGAAAAAAACAGCAAAGACCAAGGTGGACGGACTGCATTGCATCTCTTGTGTACTTATGGAAAGGTAAATCCTAGTTCTAGGACAGAAACGATTTTGTTAAGTAGAAATCGTACTTGCTACCCAAAAATGACCGACAGAATGGTAACAGAATGCCCCAATACCGACAACAAAGACGGATTGTTTAATCTTGACTTAATAGAATATTCCCTAAAAGCAGAATGTTTGTATCCAATTGAAAGATTTTTAGAAATCGGATGTGCAAATTTCGAAGATATTAAGACAAAGCTTTATGATAGTTATGAAAAGATTAGTCTGCTGTGCTACTGTGCACAAGAAGGCTTCCCTAAATTATTCCACTCAGTTATTTCAGAAAATCCTGAGTTAGTAGATTGTCAAATTTCGTGTCATTCTTTGTTAGAAATAGCAGTTTGGGGAACACATATTGAGAATATTTGGCCACGAAGAGAAGGAAATATTGCTGTTGTCAAAATCTTGCTACAACGTGGCGTAAACATAAACAGTCCTCTACGTCGTAGCGGTTGCAGTCCTGAAACATTTAGAGATAAGACCATCTTAGACATCGCTTGTGAAAAGTGCAGATACGATATGATCGACGTATTAGTACAACATGGAGCCAAATGTAGCGACGGTTACACGGTATGGCACTGGATATCAGAATTAAAAAACTGCGACAAAAAACATTTGGACCAGCTGTTGAAAGAATTTGATGCAGATGTGAATGCAAAAAACGACAAGGGAACGACTGCACTACATCTTGCTTGCGAACGTAATTCTTTCTTGCCGCCAGGTATAACAACAGAAATTAAAGGGGACCACCGAGATATCGTAGAATTTTTGATTAAAAAAGGTGCTGACGTAAACGCTATAAATTGCGACGGAATGACGCCTCTAAGCATTGCTGGTAAAAATGGTGATATTGAAGTTATAAACATGTTATTGCAAAATGGTGCCTCGATAATTGTTATCCTGATGATCTGAAACATGCAAATCCACTTTCTTAGAAAAAGGATAAAATTTGATCTTCGTATAAATCCTACAATTAGTATTAGTGTTACTCTCTTATTATCTATAATTTTTACATGTGTTTGTTGGATGTTTTATACTGGTAATTTAAATTTTGTAAACACTAGTTTTAGCAGAAATTTTTCGAATGTACTTGATTTGTCTTAATATATTTATATCAAAATTGTAAAAAGCAGCTTTAATGTAATACATAAATTATAAGTGACTTTTCTACAATAACATTTTGCGATTATGTCATCAACTATTTAGCAAGGACCACCGCCTGTATTATAGTAGGGTCAATTAGTAAGTGCCTCCTAAAAATCTAAAACAAGGAATGAAAACTCAATAATACATTTTTTGCCAAAATTACATTTATCAGTGTGCATTCGAATATGAAATTGTTCAAAATTAAAAAAAAATGGTCGAAGGTTATATCGACAGAACTGCCCTCTTTTTTAATGTGAAATTTTTTAATTTGTGTATTTTTCAATTTTAAGATTTGAAATTTTTCGGCTTTCAATTTCTCGATTTTTCAGCTTTTAAAATTTTTAGTTTTCTGTTTTTTCAACTTTAGATTTTAAGTTTCATGATTTTTCGATTTTTCGTTTCTTTTCATTTTAAATTATGTAGTAACAATAATATATTTTTAAAAATTTCACTTTTTCCATTTTTCAGTATTGGATTTTATAACTTTTTCATTTATTCAAATTTTCGATTTGTAATTTATCGTTTTTGATTTTTTATTTTCTTGATTTTTTACAGTTTTTCGCTTTTACAAAGTTTCTATTAATTTTATAATTTTTTACTTTTGAAATTTACGAAATGCAACTATTAGTGTTTTCATTTTAAATTATTTTATTTTTCGATTTTTCAAAACTTTTGCATATTTCAATTTTTAGATTTTGAAATTTTTCGATTTGTAATTTCAGGGATTTTCAATATTTATTTTTAGAATTTTTCGATTTTTTAATTTTTAATTGCTTCACTTTTTCGATTATTTTTTCGGTCCTTTAGTTTATTTATTCTTTCAATTCTTCGGTTTTTCAGTGTTCTGATTTATAATTGCTATTTTTTTCAATATGAAGTTTTTCAAGTTTTGGATTTTCCAATTTTTCGGTTATGAATTTTTCGATTTTTCAACTTTCAGGATTTTTCATTTTTGGTTTTTTCAACTTTGGATTTTTCAATTTTGCGTTTCTTCAATTTTTGATGTGCAGTTTTACCGGTTTTTATTTTAAATATGTAATGTGAATTTACTTTTTATTTTTTAATTATGTTGCAGAATAAAATAATGTGTTCTATTAATGAAATATTAAATGTAAATGTAAATATAAATGAACGCGTACAAACCAACCTTTACATGCAAGTTATTACAAAAAATTCAAGTGTCCGATTTTTTTGGCTGGTAGTGTATTGCACTTTTTCAATTTTACGATTTTTCATTTTTTCATTTCTTCAGTTTTTCTATTTGCGATTTTTCAATTTTTCGGTTTTTTTTGTTTTTTCAGTTTCACGAGTTCACGACATGCAATCTTGGAGTTTTCATTTTTTCAATTTTCCAACTTTTAGATTTTGCAATTTTTCGATTTGCAATTTCACGAGTTTTCAAATTTTCGATTTGCAATTATTCGTTTCGGTTTTTTATTTTCTTTATTTTTTCAAATTTTTCGATTTTTCAATGTTCTCATTTTATAACGTTTCTTTGTTCTTCACACTGAACCAAGAAAAATTGTACAATTTTTTGATTTTTCAATTTTTCGATTTTTCAACTTTTCGAAACAAAATGGAAAAATTGTAACATTGTAAAATTAAAAACTTAATAACGAAAACTTTCATTATATATATATTTTTTTGCTCCCTCGATTAGTCAGTTTTTAGTAATCGAAATAGATTATCATATTATACAAAAATTAAAATATATATGATTATTGTTAGCAATATTTAGATGAATAATTTTATTTAATATATCTTATCTTATCGATGGAACTAACCCTTGTTGATTCAAATTTATGTACCTATATACGCCATGTCAATTTAACAGCCATTCTCGTCGGTTAAAGTTGTTCCACGTGGTTTATAAGTAGCTTTGTCGCTTGATTTTATACAATTCCGTGGATCTTGGGGTAAGTTAAATTGAATAATACATTGAGATATTAATAAGTGCATATTTAGAAAATAGTTAGGTGAAATAAATTTAACTATTTAAATTCAAATCTTACAAATATTTTTCCTCATCGAAATTGTTAATAAGTATTATTTACTGCATTTTTATTTGCACCACACATAATACCTATAAATTTGCAAGTATTGGATCAAGATAACCAGAATTCTCTTGGTAATAAAAAAGCAAACAACATTACGTCGCCATGGACATTTTTTGATAATTTCCGTGATGACGTCATTAACTCTCTAGATGGACTAAATAAATATATAAACTATTACCGTTGATTTATAATCATTAAATCATTGTTAGTATCTTGCAAACATCGCAAGAAAATCGTTTCATGGATTCTGAGACTATTTTATAATTTTTTGTGAGTAAAAACCCTGTCAAAGCAGGGCAAATATCAAGCAAAATTTCAACAGTGTAACATTGACTTAGATGGATCGTCAGCAACTGACAGTCGTATTATCTACAAGGTGAGCCACTAAGCGTAACATCCATTAAAGTTATATTCAACTATACAGAGTGCTCCATTTAAATGCTGAGATATAAATTTCCACGTGCTGAATCCAAAAATATGGCGTGTTCATGACCCCGGGGCAAGATTGTAGAAATTTTCCGTTTGAAATTCACTTTTTTTTTAGAAATCATAAAAATTGCAGTATTTCATAAGCTGCTCTGGAAAAATGGCAAGATTTATTGAAGGAGGCCGAACTAACTTCCGGAGGGCGAAATCTATAAGGAAATGTCTTTAGTTACGTTTCTAAAATGCTAGAAAATGGACCGAAATTTTCATAAAGATTTTGCTTTTGAAAAAGTTGCTAAAAAATTGGCAAAAAATTTAGTTTGAAGATTTCGACGTGCTAATTCCAAAAATATATCGTGTTTATTGTCTCGAGGCAAAATTTTTTAAAAATTGGGTTTGAAATGAGATTTTTTTTAAAATCCAAACTATTCTGGAAAAATTGCCAAAACATTGCTAAAATAATTCTGGGATATAGACTTCGACATGTTGATTCCAAAAACATAGATATTTATGGTCTCGGGGCATGATTTTCCAAATATTCACTTTGAAACATAAAATACTAGACAATATTTTTCGTAAATTAATGAGATATCGAGGACCGCATGTTTAGTGATTTAACAGTATATTAATTTTTTCATGAGATTCTCTGTAAGCAAACCCAAAACTGTCTAAGCAAGATCACATTTCAAAGCAAATAACAAATCAGATAACATAAACAACTTGGTAATAAATATCTATCTTGTTACTATAGCTTTAACTGTGCGTTACCATGGACCCAGACTCAGGTGGTCAAAGTGAAGAAGAAATGCGACAACTGGAAGAACAATTGAAAACAATCCAGGAAAAAATTAAGCAAAAGACACTGCGTAAAAAAATAAAATCGGATTTAGATGCCGCTTCAAAACTTGAAAATGACGCTCCTCTGTTAAACCAGGTATGGAAGTATTTATTTAATTTCACATCTTTCTTAGTCTTGAACTCGTTTTTCAAATTTCTCCTACTTTGGAAATTACAGATTCCAGACAGCGGGTCCCTCGAAACTCAAATAACAGATGTTGCAAAACAGTTAGAATCATTAACGTTACCACAACCAACATCTTCGAACATTATTACGGAAAAAAAAGTATGTATATATTTCTACAAACTTAAAAATTATTTCAATCGCTATACGTATGTCTTTGAAATTTTTATTACAGTGTTAAATAAAGTGGTTCTGTAGAACTAAACCAAAATTAGAAAAGCGTCATTCGAATGATTACAGTATTTTGTATTTTCAGCCTGAAGTGCCCTACTTTCCTGGTTATAGAAAAAATCGTGGAACCATAGATCAAGGAAGAGAATATGAAAAAATCATGTGTGCATTCTTCGCTTTAAAACTAATAGAAAACAAAATCGTTGAGAACTTCGAAATGACTACAAATAACAAAGCAAACGGCCTTTTCGACGACATCGGACTCAAAGTTACTTTCAAAAATAGAAAAACAATAAATTTTCTTTTTCAATTGAAGCATAAAGAAACGCCGACACGCATCGGACAACAACAACTTTACACAGAAAAAGGAAAGGGTGATTTCCACGTTAAAAAATATTTCGCATCTATGGAGTCAGACATCAAATTGTCAAAAGACGACGTGTGTATTATTTACACGAATTGTTGCACAAATATCGGAGATTATATGGAATTACCAGAAAATATTAGTGTTAGAAAGTCTGAGAAACTAGAAAAATACGAAGAATGGTTAGTGAATACCGAGAACATGGAGCAGCGTAATATATTTCAAATTAAGGCAGAAGATATGAATCATACATTTTATTTACTCGCAGGCCAAAGAAACCTTGAGAGTACTGAAAAAAAAATTGGAGATATGCTACGAGATTTGGTACACCATGATATCTATGGAACCTTCGACCACTTTATGGGTGCATGGTGGTCACAAAATTTTGTTCTATACAAAAATGACGTTATTGCAAAATTAACGGAACTGGCTTTAACACCACACATGAAATCTCTGAGTGCCGCTAAGCAAAATAACAAAACTGTGTATATGAAGGAAGCTATAATGAAATTTCGGGTGACAATAGCCGACGACAATATGGTCGACAATATTTGGCAAATTGATACACACGAACGATCTAGTGAAGTTAGAAAAAAGTTTGCGTTAAACTCAATTGCCGAAGACAAGGTTTTATGGTATCTTGGTAAAGTTCCTCTCGTCGTAAAAATAGATGATTCTAACCAAGCGAAGATTAAGCGCGTTCTAGAACTCATGAACAAATCTTCTGAAATGAAGCAAATAGTTTTAGTGGGGGATGTTACAAGTGACTTTTTTGAAGAATTGGACAGTTTTCAAAATTTGGCAGACCTCATAGAAAAATCTAACGACGAAACACCTTTTCGTAAGATTTTGGAAACTTTTCAAGTTTCTTTGCAAGGAAGAAAACCCATCAGCTTGGAAAAGCTTATTAAGATTAATCCAGACATAGCGACGCATATTGGAGTTGGTGAACTGTTGAAGATGTCCCAAGAAACATA